AAATTCTGAGAAATTTATATAAAAATTCTAAAAATAATATATATAAGAATTTTAAGAAAAATTTTCACAAGGTATCTGTAAATCTAATTTTTGGACTATGTTATATTTAATAAGATATGATACGGCATAAATAAATTACCTTGATTGATCTACGTAATTCTGATAATAATAGGATGTAATCATTAATGCACAATGATTTGTGCAAATAACTGTAGAACGTTACACGTGACTGTAGAAGGATGAGAAATCGATAAGATGTGATGTTGCGAAATGAAGATTGACACTGTAAAAGCACAACTTTTGCAGACGTCGCGTTTGCTTCTCGTCAGCGCGAGTAACTGGCCTACCATTCGATACACTTGATGCACTTCGCCTGTGTTCATTTCCCTTCTTCGCTCTTCTTTTCAACCAAACATTACGCGTGTACTAACGCAATATAATACCAATATTAGAAAGACTCGTCCAAGTTTATCGATCGTAAAAAGCTTATATTATAGAGATACGAATACACATATTTTATCTTTTCTCATTAAATATTAATATTAATGATCACGATACATTAAATTATTATTAAAAATGTGAAATTATTGCAGAGTCGGCACGTGTGAACAATGATTGAATAGCTATGCAATAATTTAACACTTACGAATCGATTTCGTTCGCCGATTCGCGGATGCGTAAAGTAAGCGCATAGACATCCGAGACTTTCTCCCGCTTCCGAAAAATACCTTCTTCATTGTAATAAATGTTCGTGACTCACAGGCGACTTGTGGTAATTGAAAACCGAAACCCTACGCGTACGTCAAGCGAGACGAATGGTCAGTTCGGGCCGATCTTATTTCGCTATTGGAATTGTCGCACATTGTTTTTTAACATTAGCAGTAACGATAACGGCCTTTTTCCTCGCATTTGTATCTTATTTCTTCCTTGTCTGCTTCCAGCCGAATGCCGACAATCCCGGCACAATCTTCAACTCGCGGACCGTCAGCAATATCGCAAGTAATGTATCATCTATATAGATCTCGGTGTTCTACTTTTTATCTTTTTCTACGACATACTTGAAGATCTCCCGAGATTGTTTGTCATATCTCTATATCATACGTGCGGTCGCACGGTATGTATGATAACCGGTTTGTAATAATATCTAGCGAACGAAAGAGTGGTCAGTTCTGATACAGGAAATGCGGCCGACATGTAGGTGGTAGCTGTACCGCGTTGTTTCGTTATGTCAAAGTACATTTTTTCCAAGTTCTTATTACGTGGCCTTTTGTGGTCATCGCGTGTCAATCGATATTTTCAACGGCATTCATAAATTAATAATTATGTTTGTAAATTTCCAAACTAAATACTCTGTCAAAGATTCGAAATTGCACAAAATTAAGTAATTATATTAAAAGTAAGTAAGTATATTTTAGTGAAAAATTACATAAAAGTTCAAGTTTATGTTGTAATCCATTGCTAATGCCAACGTTTCATGAATTTTATCATTAATATTATATTTAGCCTAGAGTTGTGATTTATGTATGTTATGCATTGTTTAATTAAAAAAAAAATAAATTTCAGTCATATAGAGTCTTTTTTCTAAAATTAAATTGTAAACTATTTTAGAAGATAAATGAAAAAGTCTTCCGTCAGAAAATTAACTTGCAGTTACATTTCTTAGATTAATTGTAAAAAACTGATTAAATGCAAGGATGGTTACTTCGATAAAAAATCTAATATCCATTAATATTTTTCGTGTAAAAAATATTGTAGAACTTTCAAATGTTTTATATTATTTTTCATTTTATTATAAGATGAGCAAAATAATAAAAATATGTTAAATTATAATATGCACAATGTGGATAGCAAACTGTAATATATTGTATAACGTAATTAACTATATAACGTAATTTGTTGTCATTTTAATGTCAAATAAATACAAAATGATAATAAAAACGTTAAAATAATGACAAATTACATCAGCTTGTGACCTAAAAAATTTTATTTTATTTATTTCTATATACAATTTCATTTTATATAGTAGACATTTTCGATTAATTGTTTCCAGCAAAAGCAGGCTGTATAAATATTTATATATCTCAAAATTCTCGACTCAAAATATTATAACAAGAAAGTTTTCGACAAATTAAGTAAAAAAGTTGTTTGTAAATTTTTATTTTAAGCAGTAATTTCTCAAAATAATAAGTATATATTAAGTGTGTTATTAATTATTGTGAATATCTTTTTGATGGCGGAAATACTCAAGTGCAAGATACAAAAATTTTATTAAAATTGTTTATTAAAAGTACACGTAGCATTAGAGCAAATCGTTGTTGATGATACATATAAGAACTACTTTGAGCGGAAGGTTTTTGATAATAGCGCGAAAAATGCCAGAAAGCGGAACGCGATGATAAGCGCAAACAAGCAAATAATATCCATCCAAAAGTCCTCTTTTTTAAAATTGAAAGTTTGGAGAATCGTGCGTCCCGATTTTGGACATGTCACATTGCTTCTGGTGCATGCTATAGAATCGATCTCTGACCACTGATTGATCAAAAGTGCCTCGTTGCCATAACGAAACCAAGATAAATATGAAAACCATACGAAGTAGGATGGTACGGATCTATTCCACATGAAAAATCGATATTTATTTTAATCAGCATTTCGATCATTGTTGTTCGAAATAATGTGAGATACTCACGCTGTGTTTAAGAAGAAACCGCCAAAAAGTAAAAATGGAATTATAACTGGGGGACCAACGGAGAGGGCCACGGATACGCGATTGCTGATACAAGATATTAAATAGCCTGCAAGAGAAATAAAACTTTAAATAATTATTAAATAAAAAAGATAACACAATGTTAGTGTTATCTCATATAAATGTATTTAGGAAGAGAATTGGGAGGATTTAAACTGCCCCAAAATTTTTATTTTTTTCATTTTTAATTAAAAAATATCATTCTTCCTCTGTATTTTTGATTCTGAGTAATATTTCTTGTCATAAAATATTTTTTGCCCATTATGACTATATAAATAACTTCCATTAGAATTTGTATTAGAAATCAGAGAAGAAGACATTTAAACTTTACTACTAAAGTATCCAAAAAAGCGATTCATTATCACAAAATGTTTTCGTTTATGTAATAACAAAATTAATAAAAATCCTCTCCGAAAAAAACATCCTGAATACACCTGCCGTAAGTTTTTGATTACCGAATGAAGTCGATACGTTGCCTACAAGAGCTACTATAGCAGTAGCAATGAAGAAGTGCTTAAAGTCTGGATAAAGACCAATCATAGGATAAACTATAGTAGTGAAGATCATCGGTATCACTAAAAATATCGGCGTTTCTGCTAATGTCTTGCAGATGAAGTAGACATCAGTGCGATACATACCGTTCTTGTGTTCGCGAAGAAATATTGGCAACTCGACGCAGAACACCTGTACGCAACACACATATATATTTTTTTATGTCTATTTCTTAGTTTTGATTTAAATTATTTATATCTAGTTTTAATAGTAATTCTAATTAATAATATTTAGTTTTCAATATTCATTCAGTCAGAGAAAAATATAGTGATTATAGCAACTATATAGATGACAACTATACAATTTTTATATTATGTAGAATTAATTACATAGTTGAATAAACTATTTTATATTTGCAATGCCTATAAAATAGTTTATTTAATTATTATATATTAATTCTACATATAAAATTTGTAGTTGTCATCTATATAGATGCTTCCATTATGTTTTCTTCGGACAATAAGTGTAAAAGAATTATTATTAATTATAGAATTATTAGAATTACTATTAAAACTAGAAAAAGATATTTTTCTCTGATATTTATTTTCGCCAGTAGATTATTTTAATCTCAGTTTAATTTATTTCTTATCTTTTCTTAAAAATTAGAAAAAGATGATAAGAGAGAATTAAATCGATATTAAAATTAATCTACATTGATAAAAATGGATACATAAGTATAATGATATTCTAATAAGAATTAGAAAGAGATAAAGAATAAATTAAACCGAGATTAAATTTAATTTACAGAGTGAAAT